TTAGAAACATACTTTTACCTGATTGATTTATTTTTTGATATAGTTAATAAAATAAATATGGCAGTTGTATTTTTTTCAAGTAAATAATTTATTTGGCTTTGTTTTTTCCGTATATGTAGCGTACAGAGTTTTTGTAATAAGTGTAGGTATAAATCAATGCAAAGTATTACATATTTGTTCATGAGTATATTGAAAACTGTACCATTTTATGCACAATAACAATAATAATAATAATAATATTAATAATAATAAAAATGCACACCCTTACTAGTAAATTTTAACCCCACAGAGTTTGTGCGGGGCAAGGAAGGCTATTATTGTTATTATTTGTCGTTATTATTATTACGTAAGTACCTTATATATTTTTGTGTATTTTTGACTGTCATATTTTTTAATCTTTTATATTATCCCTTTTCATATTTTTGTAATAGTTGATATTATTTTAAAACACCTGAGTACTCAAATTTGTATAAATATCATTAGTACATATAGCCTATAGCTAATTAGGGCACCAATAATGGTTTATAAAATTTAATACTAATAATGATAAATAATGTTTTGAAGCCTATAAATAATTCAAGATCATAATAGTTATTTAGGTACGTTATAAGTGGGATAAGAGCTTTATTAACGTACGCATGCGAAAGCACAACGGCTGCGTAACACGAGTTGGGCAATCGCAGAAGTACGTTAATAAAGCGTTACCACATGTATATTGTACAAATTTTTATGTACGCTTGCAAATGTAAAAATAAACGGTAATTATAATTTTTGTCTAAGACTTAATTTAGGGTTATTGTTCTCCACCACTGCCTACATGTCGATTTGCGGGCGACACATCGAAATGTTGGGTGGCGGTTCTAACAATTGAATAAAATCGTTTTGTTTTCTTAACAATAATATTGTCGTAAACAATATAATTAATTTTTAACGTATTTTTGCATTTTCCAGTAATAAAATTAGTGATTCGGAAAGTTTGTCATCTGATATTGAAGAACAAGCTTTAAATATAGTTTTTTTTGTGTCAACGGCATCAACTACTATTAACCTTGTGTTCTGTGTAGGCTTTGTTACTTGTTTCCCAGCGCCACTTTAGGATCAGCACTGTTATTTAGAACCCAACAGTGAATGGTCGAGTGGGAAATGCTACCAAGGCATCAGAATTAATTTTAAATCATTAAATTAAATGAAAAATCCCGGCCAACGGTGGGATTCAAACCTGGGACCCTTCGATCCGCAGGAAAAGACTCTACCACTGAGCCACCCACCCCCTAAAATATAGTTAATTGTTACTTTATATTGTGACAGTAATATGTTATTAAATTTAAGTTTTATTTGATTGAATGAAAAGCAGTAAGATAAGAAAAACGCGTGCGTTAATAAACTTCTTATCTCACGGGCGTAGATAAATACAAATATACCACCGACTAAAACAAAAATTACTTATCACAAGAAAACAGACTAGCGGCAAATAAACCAAAACCAATTTATATAGTATAAAGTGTAATTTTTTTTTATGTATGTTCAGCGATAATTCTTTAACACGGTGTCCGATTTCAATAATTCTTTTTTTTTTGGAAAGGGGATACTTCAGGGGTGGTCCCATATAAATTTTTTTTTTAAATCTAATAATTGGGTCCATGAGAAAATCCTCAAACTCTTCATTTTTTTATGTATGTTTATCGATAATGCTTTACCACCTTGTCCGATTTATTTGATTATTTTTTTGCTAGTAAGGGGGTACCTCAGGGGTGGTCCCATATAAATTTGGTTAAGATGTGGTGATGGCATCTGCACGTTTTTGAAGTCGGTTTTTTTAAATTTTTAATTACTAATACTTGTCTGAAATTCAGTTTGATACATAGAAATGTTCTGTGTACTATATGTTTTACGGCCTATGAAAGGTTCTGAAATTCGAGAGACGCTAAAATGGTGGTTCCCACCTTATCGAGACTGAGGCCCACAAGGGTAAACTCGTAGCGCAACAAAAACGGGAAATGATTTAACTTGGAACGAAAGACCGAAAGCCGATAGTAGTATTAGGAGGTTGAATTTTTTGGTTTGTGAAGCATTGGCATTACTTAGCTTAAACCATGTGATGATTTTCACAAGCCTTGATTTTTAAAACCATTCTATATCGCCTTTTGATTAGGGTTTAAAAACTTGTTTGAGCAATTTATCCAATACTAATTAGCCCCTTTACCTCTTAAGCCTGCTCATGTAAAATATTTGGGCTCCTTACTTCGCCTGTTTATTAACCAACTTCAAAAAAGGAGGAGGTTCTCAATTCGTCGCAATATTTTTTTTTATGTATGTTCAGCGATAATTCTTTAACACGGTGTCCGCAACTATGTTAAAAGAAATAAATTGGCTTTCAGTTCAGAACTATGTTCAGTACATGACTGATATTTTTATAAAATAAAAATGACAGTACCATCGTATCAGATCTATTAGAAAAAATTCAATATAATTCGCAATATCACAACTATAATACAAGAAGCCAATCTGACTTTTATGTACGGCAAGCCATCACTAAAAGTTCCCAAAATACAATTTTTGTTAAAGGTTTAAAAAATTTAATAGACTGCCTACAGAAATTAAAAAAAAAACAACAATAAATGTATTCGAAAGGAGCCTCAAACAATATTTGATAAATAAACGGAACGGATATAGTTTCTTGTGATAATACTCTTTAAACCTGCCCTTTTTAAGTATTTCTCTTAATGTATTGTTATTTTACCCCTCGTTTTACCCGCATTTATTATAAATTATTTCTGTTTTGAGATCATGTACTTTATTTTAAAAAATTACTTAATATTATATTAAATACTACTTACTATGTTTAAATTATTAATAGTTTTGCGACGATAGGTTATAACAACTTATAGCCACAAAACTATTTTTGTGGTCAAGTAGATCCATAGAAAGCAATGTAATTTACAAAGACCTTTTTTCAACATACAAATAAATGACAACTTTATAATTAAAATAAAAAACACAACGAAATACCTCGGTATCATAATTGATCAAAATTTAAAATGGGTTGATCAAATTACTTCATTAAAATCCCAAGGTAAGAAGAATCATTTTTAAATTTTATGAATTGAGGAAATTTATGACTAGTTTACTAATTATTATTTATAATTTGCTGGTTGAATATGTATTCCAAAATCATATAATTAAAGTTATTTACAAAAAACCGGCATTATATCCCTACCTCTCTTTTATATATTAAAAAAGTGCTTTGTATAAGAACATTATATTATCTGCCTTACTGTACCTTTATTTATGGAAAGCCTGAATTAGATACACTACAAATTATTTGCAATAAATATCAAAATAAGTATACATTTTTAAATAATTTGACATTTAAGAGCCATTCACACATCACAGTTGACATCTTGATACCTGACAGGCACAGCCAAGCATTATTCTGATTTTTGCCAAATAAAATAGTCGGTTAATTATTCTATGGGATTGCAACAGAGAGCCAGTAAATTTAATAAAGGTGTTTTTGTAGCTAGGGGCGAAATAGTAGTACGCATAAGTTAGCACCACCATAAAAAAGTCATTTTTAAGAAACTGCTTATATCTTTTTCATAAATTGGCAGGCTTGGCGACTAATTTCGAATTAAAATAGCCTCCAAAATGGCTATGGTTGCAAGTATAAAGGTTGCAACCCACCTTAGAAATGTCACCTTTACTATCAACAGCTATTGTTTGCCAGGTCGTTAGAGAATGTTTACAATTTATGGAATGTAAAGAATGTTAGGAATGTTGACGTTAGAAATAATTGAAAGTCCTAAAATTGTTACATAAGAAATGCATAGGCGGATTTTAAGGGTTCTAAGTTAGAAGTAATTATTCAAGAAAATCAAAACCACAAGTCAATTAGAACTTTCGTTCTAGAGTTATTGTGCCGGCATACATACACACAGACGACCAGACGAAAAATTTTTTTGCATTTTCGGGCTCAGAATGATCGGAAACATGAAAAAAAGTTTTAAAAAATGGGGGTAAGAAAATTTTTTCGTCTGCACGAATGCAATACTGAGGCCCCATAGGAAAGGCCTCAGTAAAATGATTGGGAGCTCTTCTTGTATGTCCATAGTAGTATGTGCGCAAGTATTTTTCTTAGGAAGGTCCAATATTCTAATCTTCAAGAAGAGCTGCAATTTAATGTTTTAAAGAAAAATAAAACTATAGCTGGATTTAGACAGGCTAATGTAATAAAGCTAAAAGTTGCTAACAGAAAGCAAGACGTCAGAAAGTATAAATAATGGTTCCTTATCTTCAAAATTCAATACTAGCATTTCTATAAACAGCTACTTCAGATTGAAGACAATGGTTTATAAGTTTAAATCAAGATTTAAAATATTTTTAATGCATGATTATTTAGTAAAAATCAGGTAGATATACCACTTAGGCCTTTTCCTAATTTTACTTTCTTAAACATTTTTATTTTGTAATAAAGCTTTGTTTCGAATTTATTATCAAATAAAACGCAGAATTTTCGTTATTACAGAGAAAAACTGTGGTAGACTCGTAAAAAAATGAAACCACTCAAGAAGTTTTAAATATGTGGTAATCAAGCAAATCACGAACCAAAATAAAAAAAAAGAAGAAAATCACTAACTCGCAACTCCTATTATTTATTCGGCCACATACAAAATATTTTCGAAACTCTACTTAAATGAGTAAATAACCTCTCAACATTTGGTTTAAATCTGTTAGAATGTTTTTGAGAAATCGTGCACCACTCTTATTATTCCTTTATGGACATGTTTATTAAGTAAACTGATATTATTTTTTTGACGTACTATTAGCTCTAATGAGTCAGTTCGGACCTGTCTGTTAGGTATATTATGTAATTTTTGTAGCTTATAGGTTTCTCATACCTAAATTGGTCATTTAAAGCTCATAATTTTATTAAGAGTTGTCGGTCTTTAGTATTAATATGCGATATGAAACACAGCTTAATATTTTATTTCATTTTTTAGAAAAGTTGTTGTTGAAAAAGTGCGTTATCTTCTACCAGGAAAAAACTACGTTTTTCAAGTTGTTGTCAAGAAACCTCAAGGAAAACCTCTAGCTTATGATTTATTTCAAACTCACACTTTACGAACTTGTTCGAAATTTGTATAGAATAAATAGTTTTTGTTGTGTTAAAGAATGCTTTATTTACCTAAATTTTGTGTTCCTAATTAAGTGCCTCCTGGCTCACGAGCTAGGAGGTGCCAATCGTCTTAGGAGGATGCACAATGGGCCTAATGAGGCCTAAGTGCCATGGGGGCCCCTCCACACGTTGCAAATACAGATAATTGCCTCCTACGGAATTAAAAGATTGTTACTTTTGGAGGGTGTTAGTTTTGGAAAAAATCAAGTGTTTAGCCCGAGAATAACAACCACAGAGAAGTGACAATAACTGTCGGTCCTTTGAAATTCGAAGAGAACAATTTTGTGACCTTGAATTCGACTTATGAGACCAATGGAATAATATGGAGAAGACATGCTAAAAAAAAAGCGACACCCTTTTCCCATGGACTTATAAGGTAAGAAGGCGCTAAAGGTATCTTTTTCAAACATTCAAAACAGTGATACCGTGGATGTTGTCAACCCAATATCTACATTTTTATTTTTTTTTTTTTATTTAGAAAATGTAAGCAATATTTATTAATTGATATAAAATGGATGATAAAGGTCATAATAACTAATTTTTAGTACCTAATTCCACCGAGAATTCCACTTATTGATAAAATAAGTTTCAAGGAATAAAGAATGTGCAAGTGGAAGATAGTATTTTATAGAATAATAAAGTCTAGAAATTTCATAGTTTAACTGTTATTTTAGACCGAAACTGATATAACATAGAATAATCAAACAGTTGGTAGGTATTAATTGAAAATAGATTGTGGGAAAATAACAAATAATATAAAAATTATGTTTATATTGGCCATTAAAAAATAATTTTTATTGTTATGATGTCTTATGCTATCACATTTTTTTATTTTGTTTTTAATGAGGTAAAACATCTTAATGTTTGTATATTTGTTAGGTTATACAAGGGATGCTGATCAAAACTGTACACTTTTCAAATATATTTTTATTTATAAATGACTTGTAGCACTGAACACACTACACATTTTACTAAAATAAGGTGGATAATTTAAAGTAATATCTCCTTTTTATTATTTGTTTACATTAGAGACAAACGTCTAATATCCATAGAGCATATAGGGATATAATATAGGCTCTTTTATTTTTTTGTCAATAAACTAAAATATTTGTCCCGATTTAGGCGGGACAGTCCCGATTTTAAATCACTAGTCCCGATTTAACATATGTCCCGCTTTTGTCTAACGAAAAAATATAGATATTTCTTTTATATATATTTTACTCTTAAATGAACAAAACCGTCACTACTGCAAAGATAATTTGTAGAAATATATCCTTGTTTTCGATTTGTCCCGCTTTCTACTTTTCAAAATATGGTAACTTTAAATATATGTATAACAATATATTTTGTAAATCCCGATGGCGTGGGATTTAGTAAATAATTTGATCATGCTCAGGAACGTCTAGCACACTATAGTAACTCTCTGATAAGCCAAGAACTCTATAGTCTCTTGACAATTCGTTGATTTGACAAAGAGGACATTTTAATATTCGAAGCCTTTCTAGAGAAATATAATTTTCACGAAAATTTCAACATGTACCTACTAATAATTTTTGTAAGTTACGGACTTATTTTCAAACTTAAAACAACTCATTTCTCTCAAAATTTTAATGTGAAATGTCATATGTCAACGTGAAAACAGTATTTTTAATGCCAACGAGAATTCAAATTCTTGGGAGAATTTTAATCCTCTCGAAATAAACCAAAAGAAACAGTCTGCGAGTTTTCACTGGCTTTAAAAATACTTTTTTTTTTTCATGAAAATCTTAAGGGATATCACTTTTTGTCGAATTCGAAAATAGCCACCCAGAAATTGCTGGCCGGTGGAGTTATTGTTTTGGCCTCCATGTAAGCGAATACAATGGTATTGCGATATTTGGCATATTGGTAAAAACTGTAAATTTTAATGTGAGTCGGTGTTGTAAACTACGTGTTTTTAAGGCACTAATATACTTCTTTTCTATGTCATTTAAAAAAGTTTCTATACCTTGATAATTTTTTTAAATACAACTGCTTTTTATAATGAAACTGAAGTAAATTTCTAGAATTTAAGATAACAAGGAGAATATTTATGATTATTTTAAATCTAATTTTAGCACCAACTCCAGCAAATTCTCTCATTTTTAATTCATCTTTATAAAACCCCGATATGGTTACAACACTCTCACTTAAAGCACAATTATCTCAAATACGGCCCTGAACATTTTTTACTATGTTGTATATTTAGTTGTGGAATGTTATTTCAGATAATTTCTTCATATAATTATCTATTAGGTTACTAAAAATACGTTGAGCACAAGCAACCAATGTTTAACTTTTAACATGTACAATATATTCAGTTTGCAAAAGACATAAAAATAGAAAAAACGTTGATTGAAACCACGGTTAGCTGTTTGAAGGATTCGTGAACACAATATGGCGGAATTGAACCCTACTACCTCCATGTCTTTTCCCCTCCCATAAAAACAATGTTATATTTATCAAAGAGCTGTCAAAACTTTTTCAAAATTTAAATATTTCAGCGTTAATTCAGGAGTGCCTCTGAACACATACATTAGAATAGGATCTAAACTATATCCATCCAACACAAAACAAAGCGACCCAAACAACGATCGATGCGTGATCGAAGCATGATCACCACGCGTCTTTACATCTATTGGCTAAAATAAACATGCCTCCTTACGCTGGCCAATCAGATTTATGGTGCTATTCTATAACCGAATGTAGCGCTGTAAAGCGATAACCTTGAAAAGTTACAGCGACTGTTACAATTTGGTATTCTGTACAATTCTGTAACCCAACGGCGAGGTGTAAATTATCTTACATCACTATAAATATTTATGGTCATAAAATCGCCACTGTAACCAACTATAACATAACAAAATAGGTTATGTGATATGTTTGTTTGATTAGAAAAGAGATTATTATTAGAGATTATTACCTAGATTATTATTATTAGATAATATTACCTAGATTATTTTTTATATTTTTTGAAGTTACTAAAAATGGACATATTAGGGTTTGCTTTTGAATTGTTGACTGAACACTTTAATTGGTAAGTACCTACACATCATAGTTATTACCTACAGTTCATCTACTAACATATTGATCAATTTTAAGGAATGAAATGCGTATGGAACGACGGACCATTAGAGACCATTAAAATTCTTTTGAAATTCCCGAATTTCAATTCAATAAAATGTTTAGATTGTCAAAAAATCTTACATTTCACCTAATTGAAGAATTACAAGGACAACCAACTGTCAGGAATACTGCTATACCTTTTCATCTAAAAACATTAGCGACCCTGAACTTCTTTGCTAGTGGTTCATTTCAAGGTGGTGTTGGAAATTCTAGCTGGAATTGCTTGAGCCAACCAGTTATAAGTAGGTCAATTACTGAGGTGTCTTGTCTAATTACGGAACATTTATTAGACATTCAATTTCCAAATACAAATGTTCGTAAGAACAGTAAAACAAACTTTTTTTCAAAAATTTGGTATAAGAGGTACAATAGGCGCAACATCCACCGTTCGTATACATTAATAAAAAAGGAAAACATTCCATTAAAGTCATGTGCATTGCTGATGCTGATCTCAAAATATTGGCCATTGATGCCCGCTATCCAGGATCTGTACATGATGCTGCCATATTTCGAGTATCGGACATAAGAAACCATTTGGTAAGGAAGTATGAACAAGGTGACAGAAATTTACATTTAATTGACGACAGTGGTTATGGTGTCGAACCATGGCTTTTCACTCCATTTCAAAATGTTCAGGCAAATACCCCACAAGAAAGGTTTAATCACCAGCTTTGTTCTGCTCGAAATGTTGTGGAAAGAGCTTTCGGGGTTTTAAAAAAAAGATTTGCCTGTTTATCTCGACATCGAGTACTTCTTTATCATCCCAGTAAAGCAGCATATATAATATACGCATGTGCGGTTTGTCACAATATGGCATTAACTGAAAATGTAGATTTGGATATTTTTGACAATGATGAAGATGATGAACAACGAGAAGACATGGAAGAGAACATACAACATAACTTAAACATTACTAACCTGGGTATGCAGGCTAGAAATCAATATGTACATAATATTTTTTTTTGGGAACTTGTTAACTTTGTAAACAATAAAACAAACTATAGTTAGAGTTTCCTTCTATTTTTAATATATACAAAGTGTCCCAAAAAACACTTTACATAAGGGTTTTGGATGAAAATAATATAAAACAAAAAATAATTTATGGAAATTCAAAATTTTTATTTTCAAATTTATATTTGGCAATTTTGAAATTTAATTCCCTTTTCAACAATTAAAGTTGGTTTTGCCTTGGCTTGTTTCCGCCTTGGTGTTGAATTAATTATGGGCCGAGGTGTGGGCACATTTTCTGTTTTAGTGTGGTGACTATTATTCATAACTGGCATGTTTTCCAAAAGAAAAGTTTTATATGAATGTGCATGAAAATACCATTTGAGGCCTAAATTAAATATTATGTTATGTTCAATTCATTTTTAGGATGAATTTTTAGATTAAAGTAAGTTTAGGATCAAACTAAAGAAGAAAGCTGTTCCGACATTAAATTACTGTTTAATTAGTAGCATAAATTGTATTTAAAATAAAATTTAAATAACCAGCTTTATAAAAACTATAATAAAATTTAAACAACTAAATTTAACTTTATAATAAAAATTAAATAGTTTACTTTAACTTTATTATAAAAATAATTATTATAGTGCTGTACTAATCATAATTACTTAAATTTTTGATTGTTCTTTATTATTTGACAAAGAAACTCATTTGCCAACAATTTTATAAATTATTTTGCTACTCATCATATAATTTGAACAATAACATTTGAATATAAGTTAATATAATCTGTATATTTTAAAGTACACCTTTCTCTTAAATATCTGAATAATGTTTAAGTTCTTCACACTATGAGGAAAAGATCAGTTGGTGGTAACCGTGAAATATAAGTTTTCTCTGCCTC